GGGCATGGGGACACGTGCCTGTAAGCCCAATACTTGGGAAGTTAAAGCACGAGAATCACTGCATATTCAAGGGCAGCCTGGACTATAGAGTGAGACCCTTTCTCAAAAAGCCAAAACCAAACATAAATACAAAAACATGATACACTATCCTGTGGGTATTGGAAGATTCAATGTTGTTAAAATGTCACTTTTGCCCAAATTGATCTGTGACTTAATGAAACTCCTTTCAGAATTCCTGCAGATCTTTTTGTAGGAATTGGCAAGTTGATTTTATTCTAAAATTCATATGGAATGCAAAAGGCCTATAAGAGCCAATCCTACTTTGAAAAGAACAAAGGTGGGGACCTTCAAGTACTTGATTTCAAAACATGGTAAGGCAACGGCAATGAAGATGTAAAATATTGGCAGCCGAACAAATAGACTAACTGAACAGTAGAGTGACTTCAGAAGTAAACCAGAAATAGGTGGCCCATTTATTTTTTGACAAAAGTGTAAAGATAATTCAGTGGAGAAATCATAGTTTCTCAACAAATGGTGCTAAGACAATTAGATATTCGTATCTAAATATGTTCATACACAAAGTTTGGTCCATATGAAAACTTAACTCAAAATGGATTCTATACTAACTGCAAAACTAAAATGTAAATGTAAAAAAACTAAATGTGAAACCTAGAACTATATATAACTTCTAGGGGGGAACTTTTCTGATTTTAGGTTAGGTAAAGATTTTTATATATTTATACAAAACCAAAAGTATGAGTCATAAAAGAAAAATTGATACATTAGCGATCTTCGAGATTAATATTTTCTGGTTTTTAAAAAACAAAGTATTGCTAGGCATGGTGTCTCATACCCGTTGTGATGCTTAGTTTTAGTTGTCAACGTGACACAATCTAGAATCACCTGGGAAGAGTCTCAGTGAAGGATTGTCTAGGTCAGGTTGGCCTGTGGGCAAATCTGTGAGGGATTATCTTGATGGTGTTCATTGAATTGGGAAGACCTTGTACTGTGGGTGGCACCATTCCCTAGGCAAGGGATTGTGGATTGTGTAAAAGTGGGAAGGCGAGCTGATGGCAACTCTGCATGCATCTACTGTTCTCTACTCTTGACTGTGGGGTGTGATGTGACTAGCTGCTTCAAGTTCCTGCTGCCTTTACTTCCCTGCAATGCTGAACTGTAGGAATTGGGAGTCAAATAAACCTTTTCTCCCTTAAGTTGCTTTAAATTTTTAAAAATTAACTTTACTTGTATTTTATGTGTATGAATGTTTTGCCTGCATATGTGTATGTGCACCATGCATGTACAGTGCCTGCAGAGACCAGTGTCAGATCCTGTGAAATTGATGGTTGTTAACCACCATGTGGGTGCTGGGAACTGAATCTAGGTCCTAACAAGAGCAGCCAGTGCTCTTAAGTGCTGAGCCATCTCTTCAGCCCCACCCCCATTAAGGTGTTTTAATCAGGGTATTTTATCACAACAACAGGAAAGGAGACTAAGACAACCATAAAACCAGCACTGGGGAAGCTGAGGCAGAAGTTTAAGGCCAGTTTGAGCTACACGGTGAGACACTGTCTCAAAAAATGAAAAATAGCTGGAGAGATGGCTCAGTGGTTAAGAACACTAGCTGTTCTTGTAGAAGATCCGGGTTTGAATCCCAGCATCCACATGGCAACTAACAACTGTCTGTAACTCCAGTTCCAGGGGATCCGATGGACTCTGTCCTCCACGGGCATTGCACGATGTGGGTGCACTTACCTACATGCAGGCAATACATGCATACACATAAAATAAAAATAATAAATAAAATATTTGCGACTGGAGAGATGGCTCAGCGGTTAAGAGCACTGACTGCTCTTGAAGAGGACCTGGGTTCAATTCCCAGCACCCACATGGTGGCTGCGAACCATCCTTGACTCCAGTTCCAGAGGAAGCCGAAGCCCTCTTCTAACCTCCATAGCATTGCATGACACGGGTGCACTCACGTATATTCAGGCAATACACTCGTACACATAAAATAAAAATAATAAATAAAATATTTAAAAAGAAAAACAGAGTAAGGCACAGGGATACATGCCTATTGTCCTGGACTTGGGAGGCAGGAGGATTGCTGTGAGTTTGAGTACAGCTTGGGGCTACAGAGTGAAACCTTGTCTCAAACAAAACAAAAACAAAGCCAGGCATGGTGGTCTACACCTTTAATCCCAGCACTGGGGAGGCAGACGCAAGCAGATCTCTGTGAGTTCAAGGCCAGCCTGGTCTACATAGTGAGTTCCAGGTCAGCTGGGGCTACAGGGAGACCCTGTCTCAAAAAGACAAAAAGAAAGAAACAATACACGGTCCTTGTTTGGGAGGCTGTCTTTGAATCTTAAGTTCAAAGAGAGCCTGGGCTATACAGTAAAATCCTGCCTCACAAAACAACATAGCAAAATAACCAACACAAAACAAAAACAAAATCAAATAGCCAAAACAAAAAAGACCCACGCCACAGACTAACAGAAAATATTTTTGTACTCAATGACAAAGAGTACAAAGTTTCAGTTAGACTGGAGAAATACAGTCTATAGATCTATTATACAATGTAGAATTTGGTTAATAGTAATACGCCATATAAACGTCACTATTTGATTTCAACTTAAGATATAGTTTCTCTTTTCTGGGCCACTGGATGGACTCACTATTTTTTTAGTTTTGTGGATGGATAAAAAAATGAATAAATGTCATAATGATCATGTTTTAAAATGCATTAGCTAGATGTAGTAGTATTTCTCTATAGTCACAGCTAGTTGGATGGCTGAGGCAGGAGGATTGCTTGAATCAAGAGTTTGAGACCCACCCAGAGCCTTGGAAAGCCAATGAACAAAAAGGGCATATACCAAAACATACTGTACTCCATGAAAAAAATGTATGTGTAAATTTAAAGCATAATTTATCACAAAGTAACCTCATTTCCCAAACTTGATTTGGGGGTCTGGAGAGATGACTCAGCTGTGAAGGGCACTTACTGCTCTTGTAGAGGACCCAAGTTTGGTTCTTAGCACCCACATCAGGTGACTCACAACTGCCTGTAATTCCAGTTCACACACACACACACACACACACACACACACACAACATAAGCAATTCTAATACATAAAATTTTAAATAGAAGAAAGACTGAATGTCTCATTAGCCCAGATATTAAGAATATGACACAACTGGTTCATTCTATGTGTGGCCTGCAGGAATAGCAAATGATATTGTCTATTTGAAACAGCTTGGAAATTTGGGTACTGACAGATAAGCTCATTATCTTGACTATGGGGGTGGTTGTATAGGTAGCACTTTACACCCACTTCTAAAATGTTATGCCTTACTGTGCATAATTTGAGTAAATTAGACTATAAAATTTTGTTTCAAAAAAGAATAGAGAGCAAAAACCTTAGAGAGTGGGACAAGAAAGGATCTTAAACTCTCCAAGACTATCTATCTCAGATTACAGGGAGCAAAAATGAGTGAGTAGAGTAGACATTTACTTCCTGTCTCTACCAAAAAAAAAAAAAAAAAAAACCACTCAAACAACAGTGCAAATGACAGAGATGTATGTGCTAAGTGGCGATCTTCAGTCCTCTCACTGCAGTAAGATAGTGTGTGGGTTGTTGGAGGCTAGCAAGCTTGACTGTGGTATTCATTTCACAGTGTGCATGCATATCGGAATGTCGCAATGTACACTGAAATATTTGCAATTTTTATCAAATAAATCTCAATGTGAAATCTCAACATTTCATGCCATAATGAAACACATTATTTTGTATGCTATCTCAAAATTAATTAAAACTAGATAAACAAAAATAAATAGCTAAAAATAGCTCTAAAAATTCCTAAACTTGAGTATTGGGTTGGGGTGTACCTAATTTGAGAGAATACATTGGTAGAGTGCTTGCTTGGCATGCATTTCTAAGGTCCTTGATTTGATCTCCAGCAGAAAGAGACAGAGAGACAGGGAGAGAGAGAGAGAGAGAGAGAGAGAGAGAGAGAGAGAGAGAGAGAGAGAGAGAGAGTCTCTTAACTACAGGACAGCGAAAGAGAGCAGAGAGAACTTGACTGAAAGCACACCACCAGCAACCGAGAGAGAGAGCAGCCCACGCTAGAGAAATCTTTACTACAGGACCCCTAAAGTGAGTTGACAGAACTTGGCTGACAGAACACCACCAGCAACCAAGGGAGAGAGAAGTCCCCTCTGGAGAATCTGACCAGCCTAAGAGAAAAGACTCGAAAATGAACCTCCATAGGAGATAGGACGACAGGTCACCCCCATTCGACTTTCTATGGACACGATGCTTCTTTCTTGTGTATGAGCAGACTGTCAAGAATGACCAGTGGTTTGGGGAAAAACAATGAAATACAATAATAAAACCAAAAAGAAAGGCGAGAGAAGAAATCACAGAACTAATTCAAGAAAACTCTTACTTAGAGATATGCAAGTTTTGGACTGGTCCAGCAAGTATCCCATAGTATGACATAGCAGATGAAAGATCCCAGCTAGTACCCAACATAAAAGATGAAAATAGATTCTCAAAAAATCACATAATTTAGTGCACTGGTTATAAAGATCATAAAAGTGTCTAAACAGCTTATAACTTACTAATAAATACTAATAATTTATAGGTAGCTCAGCCTCATTTCAAAAGCTTAATAGCCTCATTTTAAAAAGCTAATAGCTTATTAAGCTTTTGAAATGAGGCTGAGCTACCTATAAATTGGACAGCAGAGCTACCTATAAATGTTGGACAGCAGAGGATGAGAACATTCCCATCACCACAGATGGTCCCTGCTTTCAGTGGCTCTACTCCTGATAGAGTAGACTGGCTTTCGTGAAACTGTACTTCCTGAACACTTTCCTATTGGCCTGTTTTCCCCGATTTCATTTTGTTTTATTGTTTTGTGGTAAGACAAATGCATGTTTTTTTTTTAAGGTGCATGTGTATCAACATCATTGTTTTTATTTTGTTTTACAGTTGTTTTGTCAGTAATGATATTTGAGACTTTTACAAATCAAGATCCGCCTGTGATCAAGTGTGTTTTAATCAGTCATAAGAGCAATGGTTCATCAGCGGGAGAGTCATCATCGTATCTCACGGTAAAGTAATATTGAAACTATAGTGTTAGCTATTTTGCCATGGCCAAATGGGCTTTTCTATCTATATAACACATTATTCATTTATCTTGGGTGCAGCAGGAGCATCTATACTGCCAGCCACCTTGTACTTCTTAGCATCAAGGTCTCTGTTCTGGGGTTGTGTGAGGCTGTGGCTTGGATCCCCAGCACTGAGGGCTCATGTTTTTGTATATGTGAGGGTCCTTGCATATGTGAGGATCATATATTTGGGTATGGATTTGAAAGGACATCAAAACCCTGTGTGAAGAAGTGTGAGCATTTCTCTCTCTCTCTCTCTCTCTCTCTCTCTCTCTCTCTCTCATTATTTGTTTGTTTGTGTTTATGTTTATGGGTATGTGCATGTGAAGGTCAGGGAACAACTTATGGGACTTGACTCTCTCCTTCCACCATGTGGGTTCCAGACACTGAACTCAGATGGTCAGGCTTGGCAGCAGGTACCTTTGCCCACTGAGGCATCTCACTGTCCACATTTCCCTTTCTTGTTAAGAACAATTCTGGCTTCTCTCCTAAGCCCGAGTCTCTATTTTCCAAACCACTTCCTGGATATAAATGGATTTCCCATTGGCACATTGAAACCCACTTGTCTAATTTTATCATTTCTGCTTCCCCAAAGTTGCTATTATTTTTGTACTGATTGATGTCTGTCTATAACCATCTATTCTCCAGGCTGGAAAGCTGAGCACAGTTTTGGCCTACTTCCCATATTTCCTTCACATTTCCATCAGTTACTGTGGCTTGCCAGTTCCCCTCCTATTCTCTAGTGTGGCTGCTCTTTCTCTAATTCACACCCTATTAGTCTCCTCAGAGTCACAACTCTTCAGGAACTTCTTACTGCCCCAGTTCATCTCCTACAGCTAGCTGCCAGACTAGCCTTCCTCAGGACCAGCTACAACCCTGCCCTTGTTTGCCAGACTCACATTCAGTGATTTCTCATTGTGTAGACTGATATACAAATTACTCCCTGTTCTGGCTCTGACTCTAGTCTGCTTTTCATTCTCTCTCTCTCTCTCTCTCTCTCTCTCTCTCTCTCTCTCTCTCCTCTTTCTCTCTCTCTAATATTTATTTATTAATATTATGTGTATGAGTGTTTTCCTGCTTGTATATTTGTGTACCATGTGTGTGCCTGGTGCCCATGGAGGCCAGAAGAGGGGATTGAATCTCCCAGGAACTGCAGTTATAAATGTTTGTGAACTGATATTTTGGTGATGGGAACTGAACCAGGGTCCTCACAAGTGCTCTTTTTTATTTTATTTTTATTTTTTTATGTGTATGAGTGTTTTGCCTGAATGTATGAAAGTATACCACACGTGTACATTGCCCATTAAGGCCAGAAAAGGGCATCAGATTCCCTGGAACAGAATTATGGACAGTTGCTGCCGTGTGGGTGCTGGAAACAGAATCTGGGTCCTCTGGAAGAACAGCCAGTGCTCTTAACCACTGAGCCATCTCTCCTGTAGAAAATACTCTTAACCACTGCACCATCTCTCCAGCCCATTTCTCTTTTTATAGTGATCATCTAACCTAGCTATTCCTACTTGTCTACTGTTAAATATGTATTTAGTGAATGTACTCAAATGAAGGACACTTAAATGATAGAGCACTGAAAGTATTAGAAATTTCTATACAACAAATAATAAAAATAGATCAGCTAACTCTATGGACATTTCCAAATAATGGCTCACTAATTCTGTTTTCTTTTATGTAAATATAACAGAAAAATACATGATGTGATGGTTTCCCCTTCCCCAAAAAATCAGAGATGAGAAATATTTTCAAGTTTTTTCTAAAAAAAAAAAAAATGTTTCAATAGCAACATTCTATCTGAATAGAAAAGCCTTGATTTAAAACACAAGTTTTTTCATGGCAAAAGCATTATTGGTTTTAATTTTTAAATATATATTGGTATCATAACAAGTCAGCTTATTAAAAATTAAGGCATTTGCAAATATAATAGAATTTCAGTGCATACAAAGAATAGTGTTTTGTTACGGTGTTTTCAACTTTAAAAAAAAATTATTTTATTTATTATTTTTATTTTATATGTATGACTGTATTGCCTGTATGTATGTAAGTACACCCATGTTGTGCAATACCCATGGAGGTCAGAAGAAGGCATCAGATCCCTTGGAACTGGAATTACAGATGGTTATTAGCCATCATGTGGATGCTGGGAACTGAACTTGGTTCTCTACAAGAGCAGTCAGTACTTTTAACCACTGGGCCATCTCTCCAGCCTGATGTTTTCAACTTTTTAATGTATTTTCAATATAGGAAAATATCTATTCATATTTATATGTTTTCTTTTCTTTTCTTGAGACACAGAGTCCCATTATGTAGCCCTAGCTGGCCTGGAACTCAGCAGAGACTGGCCCACCTCTGCCTCCCAAGTTCTGGGATTAAAGGCATGTGCTACCATATCTGGCAGTGCTTTCTTTCTTTCTTTTTTTTAAATTTAATTTGATTACATTATTTATTGTGTATATGTGTGGGTGTGGGCATGCCATGGTATAAGTGTGGAGGTCAGAAAACATATTTGTAATTGTGATTAAACACCATGACTAAATGTGACTTATGGAAGAGTTTATTTTAGCTTATGATTCCAGAAGGAGAGTCCATAATGTCAGGAAAAATATGGAAGCCAAAGCAGGAAGCTGGGAGATCATATCTTAACCACACACAGGAAACAAAGTGCAAGATTGGAAGCCATAAACTCTCAAAACCCACCCCCAGTGACATACTTCCTCCAGTAAGACTGCACCTCTTAAAGCCTCCATAACCTCCCCTACAGCACCACAAGCAAGTGTCCAAGAATTCAACACACGAGCCTATGGGGAACATTTCTCATTCAAATTTCCATGTTTTATTCCCTGGCTTCCAAAGGCTCATGATCATATCATAATGCAAAATGCATTTTGTCTAACTTCAAAAGTATCCTAGTCTTTCCCAATTTCAACACTATTTGAAAAAAGTCCAAAGTCTCCTCTGAGACTCAAGGCACTCTCTTAACTGTGATCCCCCTATAAATTTTTTTAAGTTACAATCTTCTGACATACAATAGCACAAAATATATATTTCCATTCCAAATGGGTGGAATGGGGTGGGGGCATAGTGAGAAAAGACCAAATCCAGCAGGGCAAACACCAAATCCTATAGCTCCATGTCTGATATCTTTAGTTTCAAAGGGTTTAGATGACTCAGTCCCTCCAATTTTGCTGCCTGCAACCTCTCTCTCTTAGGATGGGGCAAAAAGCAGTCAGATTCTTTACCAAAATAACACATGATGACCTCTAGCCCATTTTGCTTCTCTCTGAAAGCTCATGAACCCGGACTCCAAATTCCACATTATTGTCAGCACTACTATCTTCTACATTTCTACTGGAACGGCCTGTTAACCTCTACTTAGAGCATTCAACTGCTTTTCTAGTCTAAAGTTCCAAAACCTTCCACATTCTTCCAAAAAATATGGTCAGGTTCTTCACAGCAGCAATCCCACTTCTCCTGGTATTAACTTCTGTGTTAGTTACGTTTTTGTTGTTGTAACAAAATACTATGACCAAAAGCTGCTTATGGAAAAAATAATTTATTTTGGCTTACAGTTCCAGAAGGGGAGTCCATAATGGTGGGGGGAGGTGTGGTAGCAGGTGGCTAGAGCAGGAAGCAGAGAGGTCACTTTTCCATCCACACTCAGTAAGCAGAGAGAGCAAGCTAGAAGTGGGGCCAGGCTATGAACTCTCAAAGCCCACCCCCAGTGATGTGCTTCCTCCAACAAAGATGCACCTCTTGAAGTTTCCATAAGCTCCCCAAACAGTGCCATCAGATGGAGTCAAAGGCACGAGCCTATGGGGGCCATTCCTCAAACCACCACAGAAGACAGCTTGTGGGGGTGGGTTCACTCCTTTCACTGTGTAGGTTCTGGGGATTGAACTCACGTTGCCAGACTTGGTGATATGTACCTTAAGCCATGGAGATGACTAAGCCACCTTCTCAGCCCCAAACTTTGAATTTTTTTACATTTATTTAAAAAGTGTGTGTGTGTGTGTGTGTGTTACGATGTACATGTAGAGATCAGAGGACAACAGTTTTCACCTTCCACCATGTGGATCCTTGAGATTGAACACAGGTTGTCAGGCTTGGTGGCAAGTGCCTTTACCCACTGAGCCATCTCATCACCCCTTATATGATCTCTTACAAAACACAATTTCTAAAGCAAATGAATTATTACTTATCTTAATCCCTAATAATAAATCATACATAATTATTTTAGTATAATATGCTTACTCAATATTCAGGATTGTATGAAGACCAAGTAGTTCTTAAAGCATGTTAAACAAATAACAGTGCCATTCTTAAGCACAGCAAAGATGAGTACTCTTTCTCATGTGCTTTCTTGTTGAAGTGGGATCTGTTCCTTTGAGATGTTTCTCACATCAGTATGAAATAAATTTGTTAGGGTTTCAGTGGCTTTTAGTTTTTAATGGGTTTTATTTCTTCTGTGGTGCATAATTCTTGAACGAGACATATTTCTGGAAATCCTGTAGTCCAATTGTGTACTGAATAATGAGGCAGCCTTTGAAAAGTAAGTATACTTTGATTAGTAAGTATAGAAGATATACTTACTAATTAGAATTGTTCTATGAGGACAAGCTTTCCCTTTTCTGTTGTTTTATTTATTTATTCAATTATTTATTTAGTTCATCATGGACTCATAGATATGTAGTATTTATTTAGATCTTGAGCTTATGCAGGATAATACTCATCACTACCACACAACTGTTTCCATCATTTCTGTTTTTCTCATCATAAGTTCACGCTGATAGCCATGATTTCAATAAAATACCAAAGAGTTTGTTCTAGCCTACCACTTCCTTTTTTGTACTGCTCTCTCTAAAAGGGAGAAGCAAAGCTCACTACCTGTAATTTATTATTTAATTAATTTATTTATTATTCCATTCTAGTTTATAACCAAGTCTCAGATTGCTAACCAGTACCCCAGTGAACAACAGACGTACTAACCAGAGTACAGAATCCATGCACAGTGCTCTCTGTCTTTAGCTGTATAGAATCTGAAGTATTATTGTCTAAAGTCCATAAATGTTTGTGATTTATGCCAGTTCTTCTGCCTTGCCTTCTTCACTATGGTTTTGTGATTTATTTGTAACAGTTGAATTGCTTTGGTTTGTGTTCCATTTTGATGCCTTTCCACCATATTCTGGTTGGTTAGTTCCTCCTCATTTCCTCTCTTTCACTTTTTGACACAAGGTTTCATTCTGTAGCCTAGGTTGGTCTGAAACTCACTATGTAGATCAGATTGGCCTCTGACTCACAGCTATCCTTCCAAATTCCTGGATTACAGGCATGAGCCACTATGCCCAGCAACTGGCCATTTATTTACTTTTTGAGTCTGTGAAACAGGACAATGTTTCTAAAAGTCAGAGCTACATAAAAAAGTATATTTAAGGCTATGGGTTTTATTCAGTGGTAGAGCAATTGCTTAGCATGTATGAAGTCTGGGTTCGATTCCCAACACTGAAAAAAATATACTTGGAGAAGTATCCCTTCTTTTACCCACCACTGAATTTCCATCTTCTTCCTACTTGCCTCCTGTAGTTAACCAGTCCTTTTAGATTTTTAGATATTAGTCCCAAATTTCTTATATGCAAGTGAACATGTGTATCTCATATCCTCCTCTTCCTTGCACAGTGTAGCATACTTGAAGATGGAGAATTCTGCACTAAGCTCTTTTCATTGAATGTATACAGGAAATCTTTGCAGATCAGTTCATAGAGTGTGCCCTCATTTTTTTAACCACTGTATCATACATCATAATATTGTTGTGCCATATTGTTTAGTCACTGTCCTGTGTCTGGGGATTTGTATTGTTTCCAATATTACTCCACTGAGTATTAGCGATTTTTTTCTTCCTTCCTTTTTTCCATCTTCCTTCCTTCCTTTCTTTTCCTTTCCTTTCCCTTCCCTCCCTCCCCTTCCTTTCTTTCTGATTGTTTTTTTAAGACCGAGTCTTACTGTGTAGCTCTGGCTGGTGTGGAGCTCTCTATGTAGACCAGGCTGGCCTTGA